TTCCTCTCACCATTGCTCATTTGGGAAGATTTTAATCTGTTCTATTTTTAGCTGAATAACTCAAAGGATTTTTCAAAGATTCTTACGACATATCTGAAAACCTGGAAAAAAGAAACTAAATTAGTTTATTTTTTTGTTGTTTGTTTAGATATTAAGCATTTTGTGGGATGGACAATTATCCCATGCTGTTACAGGATTGGGACAGTTTTGCTGTTACACCCGGTATATCTAGAGATTATTCGATGTTGTTTCTGATAGCCACTCAGCTGTCTCTGTGCGGATTTTGCAGCAATGGGTCTTGTGTTCAAAACATCTGCTAAAATTCATTGAACAGATGTCGTAGTGACAGACAGGATTTAATACCGTTTTACTAGGGAATGATTTTTCGGGCCAGAAAGATAGGACACTCTATCGCAAAGATGATGACCTTGCGATTTGGTTAAGTTTTGTTTGTTTAACGGCCGTATCCGGTAAATTGCTCGAAATCAATTGCTCAAAAAATAATTTCTCGAACTATCAATTGCTCGAAAGGCAGTTTGCTCGAAACCTGTGGTCAAAAAAAAAAAAAAAAAAAAAAATAAAACTACATTGTTCTAATATTTACTATAAGATAAAATAATACAACTTCATTGTCGTTAACTGAACAGTTAAAATTAAAGAACGGGTACATTTATATAGCAGGTCTTATTTTTTTTCTCGAAAGGCAGTTTGCTCAAGACCTGTGATTAAAAAAAAATAAAAATAAAACACGTGCTAAGCATTTCCTTATTTTGCACATTTCTCATTTCCAGTAAATCTTATTGTTCACTGTTTTGTCCTTAATATATAGATATATCCATCCAAACACAACTTCTTTCCTTTTTCGCTCTCAACAAAAATTATGTCCATCACTAGGGTTCGAGATCTCCAAAATTACTGAAATAGAAATAGAAAACAAATATAGAAAAAAAAAATCAGGACTGCTAGAGTGGAGTGTTGTGGCTCCTTTTATATTCAGATCCGTTGACGTATCGTGAGACGGCGCAGTTTACGTGGTGCTTCGAGATTCGAAATTACTTCGAGCAATCTGTCTTTCGAGCAATTGATAGTTCGAGAAATTATTTTTCGAGCAATTGATTTCGAGTAATTTACTGTCGAGCAATTGATTTCGAGTAATTTACCTAGATCCGTTTACTAGCAGTAGAGCCCGGCGTTGCCCGGGGATGTAACAGTAAGAGACAGATCAAGTATCGACCATCATAAAGACTGAAAAATAAAATTGACAAAGATTATTGTTTAAGGTTGACGGACACGCATGTCTTAATTAGTTTTTTTTTTTTTTTTTTTACGAATTGGTCAAACCCAACTCAAACAAAAACATTGTTTTCAATCGATTGAATAGAATTTTATTATAAACAATTGTCTTGTAAATGGAATTTTTAAAGCATTCTGAATGTAAAAATAAAGAAAAATGTGTGCAAGACAATAAGAAACATTACCTGCCAAAAAAAGTGAAGTTTTCTTGAAATCGGTTGAAAAATGTAGGAAATCCGATCCCCCCACACACAATCTGGGTTTTATAATACGTATAACTCGACATGAGTTGTCCCCCTTTCATTCTGGCGACAGAATCGTTTTATCGTGTTTTCAAACTGATTTTGTGCAAAAACAATTGTGTTTTTTCAATTTTTGGCGCTGTCAGAACAACCGCAAGATAATTTTACGCAGTTCTGTGAAGTTTTGTTGAAATCGGTTGAAAAATGCAGGAAATCCGATCTAATATATAAACGTACAGACACACACACACACACACACACACAGACAATCTGCGTTTTATAATAAGTAAGATTTATGGATCATTTAATGACGAAATTTTATTTTTCTTGGGAGCTGTGGTAATTTTATATTTCAAGACTGTATTGCTGGTAATTTTTCTCTTCCTTTTTTAATAATGAATTGCTAGTAATTCTTTCTTATAATGAAAATGTATTGCTGGTATTTTTACTACAATAAATATATTTTTATACTTTCATCATGTTTTGATCCTAGTTTGGAGGTTCACTATTTGCCCGTAGATACCCTCTCAAGGGAGGGTGGACCTTGGAAAAACATTGAGGTGATTCCACGCTCCTCAAAACCTCCCAATCAGAGGCCTGTGATACCAAATAACCATTCTATGATCTCAGCTGAAAACTGTACTATTTACAAGATATTATGATTAGTAAGGTATTGCCTTTAAAAAAATAACTATTTGTTATTATTCTGGCTAATTTGAAAACAAAGAAGTAGTGAATTTGGAATTTCACTATTTGTCAATCTTCTGGTTAATTTCGAAACTAAGAAACACTAAATTTGGAATTTTAGTATTTGTCACGTTTCTGGTTTATTTGGAAACAATGATGTACTGAATTTTGAGTCTACTGAATTTGGATTTTCACAATTTGTCATATTTTTTAATTATTCAAAATACATGGAAGTCTGACTTTTGAATTCGCTCTTTGTTGGGTTATCTAACTTGTAAAATTGTTTGCCCAATTTCAAATCCTTGTACGAGTAAATTTAAATTTTTGCTTCGTCTAAATTATCAATGCAATTTTGAAAGCTGCTGAAATAAATTTCTAATTTCTTCATTGCATTTAAAAAAATATTAGTAAATTTCAACCAATACAAGCTCGAGAGCCACTCAAGTTAGAGGGTTACTGTTAAAATGGTCATGATAAATGAGGAATGAGATGAATGGAAGAGAAGGTGATAGAGAAGTAGAGATTATTAAGATAAGGTCGATAGATGATGACAAATCCTTGAATTGAAAAGGTAAAGATTTTAGCGCTCAGGGTATTCTGAACACATGGAAATCTGTTCTACAAAGTTGCAGATCCTGAAAGAAAAAAATCAACTGGTCGAGTTGAACTTTCTACTTACATTTGGAACATGGAAAGAATGAGAATAATTTCATTCTCGGTCGAAATAACCTGGCATGTTGTAGCTGTAAAAATCCATTAAATACACAATTTGCTAATGTGTACTTAATGAATTCCCCATGTATAATACGCCTTCATCTATAATTACGCACCCCTAAAATTGTGCTGAAAGTGTAGGAAAATGATTCTACTCACGCATAATACGCACCACTTGTTTGGTAATCAAACCCTATAAATTGTACCTCTCGAATTTCATTATAGCCAGCGTTTCCTACTGTTTTTAAAAGAAAATGGTTTTAAACATAGAATAATATTATTCTAATTTAGTTTTATGATAATTCTTATTTTATATTACATTTTTAAGTATTGTTAGGTACATATGATTGTATTTGACATCCTTATGGGGTCGCAATCACCTAATATTAGTGTCAAATTGTCGTATGTTTGTGTTGAGTAGTCATTTCGAAACTGAAATCAACCTATCAAACGGCAAATTTTTAAAGATTTTTTTTGTCGTAGTGCATAATGCGCACCCCTAATTTTGCTTATATTTTTAGAAAAAAATGTGCGTATTATACATTGGAAATTACGATAATAACCTTAGGCTTACAACATCCTAAATGCCACAACTATCAGAAATAAAATTTTCGGCGCATTATGAATTTCAAATTAACACGATATATCCCAGGATTCCGGACACATCGAGGCGGTGTAATGGTTAGCGAGCTTGTCTCGCTGGAATAATTACAAACCGGTAGTGAATTCGATCCGCACAGGGTGCCCCCCTACTTTCGGCCCTGTGCCACATCTAAGCTACGCTTGGAAAATCATTATATACCTCAGATATCCAATTTTGAAATTATTTATTTCTGGTAGGTTTTAAAGTTGGACTAAAAATAAGCGATCAAATTAGAAACGCCAAATCAAAAACTTAAATGTAGGAATATACAAATTTTGGTAACTATAGGCTTTGAGAATAAAAACAAAATTAAAAGTAGGAAATATCAAAATTCATATTTACCTTCAAATTTCTTAAGACTCAAAATTCAAATTTTACAAAAGCTGGAATGTAGTAAATTACTTTTTTTTTAGTCAAAAGTAGCGCAAATAAAAATATAAAATGGGAGATTCAGAATTAGTATTAAAAGCTGAATCTTCTAAATTCCTGTTCTTTTATTGTTCTCTCTCCTTAATAGTGTTCTTTTTTTTCCCTAATATTCAGTAACACTTTGTATCTCAGTTCTTTTATTACCTTGCTTGGGGTGAAATTAGCTTTTAAAAATCCCAAGTTGCGAAATGCACAATTTACTAGCACTGGAATTAGAAAATTTGACTAAAAATTTACAGTTAATGAAATTCATGAAATAAGAGCAATAACATTACAGATGTAGTCCGTAAAAGCAACTACAATGAAATTTAAAGTTTAGAATTGTAAGATTTTCATAACTTAACCCCCATAATTCAAACTTTAGTAGCGCTGATGTTCACAATTAGCCTTAGATTCTCATGCTGACTCTAAAATACCAACATTATGAAAAATTTCCACAATCTGCAAAATGCTAAAATTAGTAGCCTTTAGTTTTCAAATTTAGAATAAAAATCATAAGTAGCTCAATTCGAATTAAAATCACTAGCGATTCAAAATGACTACACACCACAAACATACGAGAATTTGACACGGACATTCGGCGATTGTGACGCCATAAGAAAGTCAAATACAATCATATGTACCTAAGAATACTTACAAATGTAAAATAAAATAAGAATTCTCATAAAACTAAATTAGAATAATATTATTCTATGTTTAAAACGCTGGCCCTAATGAAATCTGAGTTATAATTTATAGGGTTTGATTACTAAACAAGGGGTGTATATTATGCGTGAATAGAAGCATTTTCCCACACTTTCAGCATAATTTTAGTGGGTGCGTATTATGGATGAAGGTGTATTATACATATGGAATTACGGTAATTTTTGGAAGTTTTAGTTCAAATTCGAAGTCTTACTAAGTTTTAAACTTTGCGAATTTGATTACGTGGTCCGGCTTTATGTTTTGAATTTGACAAATTCTGCTATTTTATATCAATTTTGGAAGCGGCTTACGGACACACCATATCGAAATACCGGTTCCCGTACGTTTACCGAAGGAAAGCAATGTCAAGCTTGGTCAGTACCGAGATGGGTGATCGCTTGAGAATACCAGCTGCTGTAGCTTGGTCGTGCAGGTGGTACAATCGATAATGGCTTGGAATTGTTAATTGAAGAGCCGAGTTCGAATTACTGTTGGGTTCGTTATATTCACTTACGCGCAAATTACCTTTGGGAAAAGTATGAATCCACCTCCTCGCCTCCAGCTATGGGTTATGTACTAAGACATGTATCACTAAACCATTATTATCTTCAAAAAATCCTTACAATCTAAAATTATTTTCTGACTTTAAATTTAACCTGCAAAGCTGATAAGCTGTAGAAAATGAATCAACAATAATTTGGAATCCTGGTAAATTTTACATATTTTTTTATTTGTGAAGTTTTGTTTAATTTTCAATGCGTTGCATCACCTGGTTTTCCGAGTGGTCACCTATCTTGGTAATGACCAGTTGTTCGGTGATCGTACGGGAACCCAAGTTTGAACGGGATGTGGCTGTGAGCCTTGAAAATCTGAGTTATGCAACTTGTGATATTTCAAGAAATATTATGAAACCGATACATTTCCAAATCTTGCATGTCACTACGACGAGTGTTATTTTTTAAAGATTTTAAAACCCGAACGCTTATAATATTGAATTAGATATTTAAGTGCTACTTTGGAATGTTATCTACAAGGAAAAATATCTATACCGTACACATATTATTTTGGAATTGATATCTATATAGTAAAACATATAACACATACGCCCTTGTGCAAATTAATTGTAACAAAACGAATAGTTTCGTTATTATTTACTTTTTTTCGTATTTTCTCAATGAAACATGACTCAGTGCACATGTTAGTACATCGTATGTCCATTCCATGAGGTAGTTCCTTGCAGATTGACTCCAGATTCTCGATTGGATTTAAATCAGGAGAGTTTCCGGGCCAGTCTAGTACTTTGATTTGCTCACTGTTAAGGCTTGCCAGTGTGTTCGTGTAGCGTTACAATTTTCGTACGCTTCCTTGGAGTAACGTCCATTGCAGACAATGGCCACAGGACAACTAATCGACAGTCGAGATAATATTGTATGGGCGTGATTAAAATCTGATGCAGTCAGATGGATGACGCAATGTTTTTCAAATTTCATCATACACCCCCAAAATAGATTCATATTACTGCACACCACTGCAAATGACCTAATCCGAGGAAAAAAATCGATTACACCCTGTCAGTTCAGTGGGCCTAAAACTGACTGTATGGTGAAAGAAAGGAAACTAAAGTGGTTGTTTCAATTAATTTGCACAAGGATGTATATAACATAACGAAAATGTAATTAAAGGATTTAAAAAAAATCTATTCTTAATATTCTATCAATAAACAGCACGAACATTTGCTAAAAATAGATCGCATAGCTAAGTAGTTTCATGACACGTAGATAACAAGCCAAAGTAGTACCGCTGTTTATAAGTTTCTTTATAATAATCATGAAAGCCAAGCATTTCTAAAGTATGAATTTTGTTTCTGGTTACATTTTAGAAATGTTTTGAAACACAAGCATTTCTAACATTTTGAATTTTGTTCCTTGTGAATTTTTCGGAGAGGTTTTGAAATCTCAGCTGATCTAAATAGGAATTTCGCTATTTAAGACATTTTGGAACAATTCTGAAAGCATAGCGCTTTTAAATTTTGAATTTTCATAATTATGTCAAATGTAAAACAATGCTGGGGATTAATGGTATATAAATGCTAAATTTTGCTACTCATGGATTTTTCGTATACTGTTTAAAAGCCCAGCACTTCTGAAGTTTGAATTTCACTACATGTGATATTTTAGAACAATTCTAACTCCTGTGCTTCTAAATTTCAAATATTGTAACTAAGGAATTTCAGGTTAATGCTAAAAGGCAAGTTTAAATCTGACTAATGGTGACACTTTTAGCCATTTCACCACCGAATCGCTACTACATTGGGTATTCTATTCTTGTCCCTTTTGGAGCAACATTCGAAGACAGACCGAAACACTCCTGCATTTTTTTTTTTTAATTTTGATACATTTGAATTTGAAGAATTTTGTTTTAATCCATCGCTTTCGCTACTTCTGACATTTTGGAAAATTCTGAAACATTGGCACTTTTAAATTTTGGACTTTGTGATGTATGATCGAATTCCAATCGAATCCATTACATTCACTTCCGTGCTAATACCCTTGGGAAAGTTATGAATCCTCTTCTTCTCCCAGCTATGGGTAAATAGCAGGACAGACCGGATTCTGTAGCCTTGGATGACAACTGGTCTACTGCAGAAAGATATGGCCACCTACTGCGGGAAAAAATCTGCCTAGTCAGTCATGTATCGAAAGTTGTATGATCGTCTAAGAGTGTATTACGCATAGCACATAACTGACTGATGAGTAAATGGTGATGTTTGAAATGAGAAACAGTTTACTAGTATGGTGGTAGGATGAAATTTCACTTGAAAACGTTTGTGTTCTCAGTGCAAAACAGTTTTAATTAAGGTTTTACAGACAAAATAGAAGCATTTAAATTATTAGACATCTTCGCTATCGCGATTACCGAAAATGTTCATGATGACTTATCATAATTCGGAACTTCTATATTCCTATACATTACTGACACGTAGCTAAAAACCGATTTTAAAATCGAATTACTCCTCCTCTATATTTGCATATATAATGAATTAGGTTACGCTCTTTGACCAATGTTATCATGATTCGGAATTGTTATGATTATTATAATGATATGACCATAAAATGACCATTATAATGATTTGACCAATATTATTATGATTCGGAACTTTTTATATTACTATACATTACTGACACCTAGCTAAAAACCGATTTTAAAATCGAATTACTCTTCCTCTATATTTGCATATATAGCTTCGGTCATGTATCGAAAGTTACATGATCGCCTAAGCGTGTATCACGCTTGGCTCGAACTGTGACTGATGTCTGACCTTTTCGGATGATTTTGAAACCCCATCAATTCTAAATTTCACTTGCGAATACCAGGTGCAGTAAGCTTGCGTTTTGTAATGGATAATGGCTCGGAATTGGAAATCGGAGGGCCGAGTTTCAATTCTCGTTGGGTTCGTTATATTCACTTACGCGCAAATACCCCTGGGAAAGATATGAAGCCATCTCTTCTCTATCAGTTAATTACTAAAACTTGTATCGCTAAACAATTATTATCTCAACAAAAATTCTTTCAAGTCTAAAAATATTTTCTGGCTTTAAATAACCTGAAAAAGGTTGGTAAGCCGGAGAAAAAGAATCAATCAATCAATAAAATTCTACATTCACTTCTGCGTAAGAGCAATTTGGATTTTATTATTTTGCTATATCAGTTCGAAGTTCGGGTGGTGTAATGGTTACATCTCTGAACGGGAAATTGGCCATCCGAGTTCTAATTCTGGTCTAGATCGCTACATTCACTTTCGCACAAATACCATCTAGAAAGGTATAAATCCATTTCTTCTCCCACCAGGTATGGGTTAAATAGTAATGTAGATTGGACTATCTAGCCTTAGTTGGCAACGAGTATAGGAAAAACATAACTCTCTGTTCAGAACCGTATGTGGCCCTGTCGAGCACATACTTCAATTGTAATTAAAATCCTCTCAGGATAGTGTAAACCACATGTTGGCTCTTTGGATGCTGAAGAAATACAGATAGCCCTGATCAGACAGGTCTGCTCGGAGATGAGAAGTCGATTCAATATGAAGATGAGAGAATACGCGGAATAAGTCTTCAAGTCGAAACAGCTGTGCTGATGATGAGTTCAAAATTTAGTTTCCAGCGCTAGGAAATTTTTGTTTATAATATTTGTATTATATTTTGAAGTACTAAAGTTACTGAATTTCAGATTACGCAATTCTGAAATTTCAGTTCAATTTTGCTGATTCAACATTACTAAATTTTGGATTTGATATTTCAGTTCAAACTTAATGTATCATCTCTATTAAATTTATGATTTCGTAAATTGTGACATTTTAGCTTAATTTGTAATTTCAAGCATATTAAATAATTTCCTATTTGAAGTTACTACGTTAATAAATTTGTGCGATTATGTGACATTATAAAGGGTTATTGGTAGTAGTTGAAAGGAAAGTGTGACTATCGTGACAGTGGTAGTGTGAGATTAGGATTAAAATGGTTCATGCAAAAACCCTGTATAGAAATAGAACATTGGAAGGGTAGAAAAAAAGTTAAACAAGAAAACATTAAAATGGGAGATATGAAGCGAAGAGAAAAAAGAGTAATGTTTTTTTCTTGATAAACTGATCGGCGAATCATTTACGTTATGAGTACGAAAGCTGGAATATAAAACAGTAGAAAAATTCTTTTCCCGATTTGGAATAATTTTACTTTGAGAAAAATGGCTGGTTGTCGCAGGCAATATTTATATCGTATCAGAGATGTAAATAATTTGGTGTTTATTTTGAAAAATGGACAAAAGAATTGTTTGAGGTCAGGATTTGGTATATCGACAACTTGTAGAAATTGCTGATTTGAAATAAAATTTGTTGACGAGAAAATTATTGTTGGGAAAGGAAAGGAATTCTAAAAACAGAGAGAATTCTTTGCCGATGTGAAATAAATTTTTAAACACAAAAATTTATTAACGTAAACAATAATTGTTGGGCAAGAGAAATATAAAAACAAAGTTCATTTTTTTTGGAATACCAGGCCGTTTTGTTTTAGGGTCGGTCATGACTCCAAGATTGGAGAAAATAATTAATTGATGAATATGTAATGAGCTTGTAGGGGTAGTGAGAATTAGGGGAAATGAATATAAATCGAACGCTAGGTTGAAGCGGGCAAAAAGGAGCTGCCGTTTGAGAAGGCGGCGACGAATCAATGGCAGCGAGGAAACTGTTGAATCCACGTGACCTGCCGTCGAAGACCCGCCGACCTAAAAATTCGTATGATTGCTTAACACGCTCCAAGTTTTAGAAGCAAGAGATACAGTATCACGATAGAGAGGCGAATGAGAAGGATTCATTTTGTTGTATCAACGATTATATAAACCCACTGAAAATTAACCCAGCGGGCTT